GCAATAGCAGGGGTAACTTTTTTTTCTACACTGTTGTGTAAACAAACACACAATCAAATGATTCAGTGGGCAGATTTGTTGAGGAAATAAACAACCACAAACTGCTTTTGCTCTGGGCTCAGGACCATGCCTAGCTTTGTCTTTACGAAAAATACCATCTCTCTAAAGGCACTTTAATATATACCGTATGCCTACATTCAGTCCAGAAAACAGTCAACAGCACTCAAAGCATAAAGCCATGCAGTCAGCATGTACTTGTTCCAAAGAACAAACTAATGATTTTGCTATTATTAGATCTTTAAAAATAGTTTGGTTAAAGGGTTTGAGAGTTTTGTCCTGGCGGTGGTGCTAGAGGAAAGGCAGTTTATAGCCATTCAAATCAAAAGAGTTTTTGCCACTGGGAGCTTGAACGAGTACAGTAAATGTAATATCAATCTAGTAGTTTCTAAAGTAAAGTAAAGGTCAGATTATCAAAGACGTTAGGATTAATTTCTCCATTGTGGATCATTGCAGTCAAGTGAAAAACAGACTTATGTCACCATCCTTAGTCCAAAACCTCTAGCAGAATCATTCCTTTACATTGTTTCACATATCTGTATTTTACAAATTTAGACCAGTTCAAATTAATCCTGTATATCATTTTTTTTGTTTGTTTGTTTACACACAGACCAACACTAAGTTCACTGATAGAAAAGTCATTTATTGATCACACAAGCTTTAACTTGGAAAATGTAATTTTGCACTGTAGAGGACAAAGGAAAGGTATTGACTTCATAAGGTCAATCATTGCCACAGACATAATTGTAGATACTTGTCTCACAGATTAAATATGGAGTGGCCATGTTTCTGTCTGTAATTAGCCAGTCTGCCTGTACACAAGCATTTGCACTACAGTCTGAGCTGACAGGGTCATATTTGGATGTCATAGACACCGATCAGCCATAACATTATGACGAACTGGGCAACCAGACTGGTCTGTGGCTATGCAGCCCTATACACAACAAACTGTGATGCACTGTGTGTTCTGACAACTTTCTAACAGAACCAGCATTAACTTTTTCAGCAGTTTGAGCTACAGTAGCTTGTCTATTGGATCGGACCACACAGACCAGCCTTCACTCCTCACGTGCATCAGTGAGCTTTGGCCACCCATGACCCTGTCTCTGGTTCATTTCTTTTCCTTCTTTGGACCACTTTTGACAGGTACTGACCACTGCAGACCGGGAACACCCCACAAGAGCTGCAGTTTTGGAGATGCTCTGACCCAGTCGTCTAGCCATCACAATTTGGCCCTTATAAAAAGTCACTTAAATCCTCAAGCTGCCCATTTTTCCTTTTAACACATCAACTTTGAGAACAAAATGTTAATTTGCTGCCTAATATATTCCACACACTGACAGGTGCTATGATAAGGAGATAATCAGTGTTATTCACTTCACCTGTCAGTGCTCATAATGTTATGGCTGATGTTATTACTGCATTTGATATAGAGATTTTCTCCTTGTGAACAAAATAGAAGGCTATTGTAGCTGTTGCTCAACTCTATAAGGAGTGACAGAACTTCAGTGTTAACAAAAATAAACATTCAGCAACTGCAGTGACATTAGCAGTTTTATTGCAGCATCTGGAGACATTAATGAATTGACAGTTGGAAGGTGGTTGAAGCTTCAGATAAATTGCATTAGACCGCATTGGATTTGGTTGCATTTTTACTATGCAAGTACACAAAGGCCCTGAGACACATACAGCTCCAGGATTACTAGAAGGTACAGACTCTTAGACACTTTGTCCCATGCCCACACTTCTCTTCACACTTGGTTCCACTTCATTTTAACACTCAACCATCATCAAGCCTTACCTCGGTGCTACAGGAGTTTCTTTTTCCTAGTATGGCAGTAACTTCAGTATGTTGATTCATTGCCATGGAAACAGAGTCAGCATCCTTGACAAACGAGTGAACTCTTGAACAGGGGGATGACCCCCACGAGGACTGAGCTCTAGAGGATTAGCTCTTTCCATGTTATTAGATAATTAGAGTGTCTTACTTCGACCACTAATGAGAAACATGCACATGTTTTAAACTGCCAGGAGGCTTACAACAGAACAAAAATCAACTGAATATACAGCTGAAACCAAGATTAACTCGTATAGATAGCACTCAATAATACAATTATACAAAACCAGATTTATTTTTTAAATTTACATAATAATTAAATGGATGCAGCAGGGATTAGTTTCTCATACAGGAGAGAACCATAGAATCTCAATAAAAAGAATAAAACCCCCAGAGAAAATACTGATGGATGTTACTGATATGATACTAAAATTGAACACAGTCCTTTTATAACTATACATAGATACTGATCATCCATCAAATTGATTATCACTAAATTAAATTCATAACATTAGGGTGAATGAAGCATAGAAATATGGCTAATCTTCACATGTAAAATTGAACATGAAAGCCACTCTAAAGAGGTTGAAGGGGATCAAGAAAAGTAAGGAATTACTTGTCAACTACTTACACTACTTACATTATTCATCCCTGACGCAAGCGTAAAAAAACCAAAAAAGTTTGCCCCAAAAATGCCTCGCCAGTCAATATCCAGCATTGTAGACTTTACATCCTTTGACTGCTTCAGTGCATGATGATGGAAGAGAGAATCTGAGCCCTTGTTATGGGTTGCGGATGTTGAGGTTACCTACCCACTTGCTCATGGTTTAGCCTTGCTCATTCAAATGCTACTGTATTTAAAGAGAGAGAAGAAAAGGTGTTCCTGCCCCCAACCCCCCTCAGACACAGCTCAGTTGGCATCATGCAGCTGCAGCACGCTCACATAATGAACCTGTCCTTAAAAAATGTTTAAGATGTTTTTGGACTGATCTGAAATGTACCTTGGTATCAATGCATGTTTTATGCTTTTGATGATAATTTCACTTCTATGTACATAAATGTAGAGAAATGAACTAACTGTCACATTACAACCTCAACACAGATATAGTTTGTGTTGTTTTTCAACTACTACAGTTACAAGTTGCATTAATAATCATTTGCTCATTGCTGTCAGATTGAGCTATGAAATAGGGTTAATACATTTCAGGGTAAAATTACACATTATGAATCTGCTGTACAGTAAATAGATGAGGTAAGACTTCAGTTCTCTTCAACAGCATGCCCGTACATGGAACTGAATCAGACTTTAAAATCATGATTTGCAAAAGTAATATGGGAATGTAAAAACTACTAGTGATATTCACATTTGTTCCAATTAGATACAATTAAGATAACTCTATACTTCCCTGTGAGTTACTGCAGATTTAAAAAACAAGAAGACAGGACACATTTAGCATATCGCAGACTGGCTGCTGCTTGACAGACTTGTGCAAATATTGAGCATATTCAGTTTTATCTCCTTGTTACATCAAGTGTTTCTTTTGTTTAGTCATAAACAAGCATGCATGTGTTAAATTAGGGCTGCAAGTAATGGTTATTTTCTTGATTAACCAATGAATAGTTGTTCTATAAAATGTCAGAAGATGTTATTATAAGTATTGGAAAACAAATGTCAGCTATTTGTCAACAGCTATGTGTAGTGTTGCTTTCTCTACAAACTGTCTGGTATAAGTAGCATTTCATTTTTAGTTTTTAAAATGCATTGTTTAATGTGATACAGCAGAGACTATGATAGGCCACTCTAGTTTTGGTTAAATTTGGTAGTGGTGAGTAGAGAAGCAAGTTATGTTTCTGACAGAAAATACACCACGATTTCTGGAGAGTCATTTAAACATGAGCATTGGAAAATTTAAAAAAATAATTTGACGGAAGCAACTCGAACAGACTGAACTTTTTGAACAGTCGCAGTTTTGACCACAAAGGCCTTTTAGTCCCATGTGAACAAACATCACAACAACATCAACATCAGCATCACACATAGAAAACATGAAATCATCAGATTTAAAATATCTGCACAAATCTGAACCTTCAACACAACAATGACTTTCTTACTTGGAAAAGCTGGTCACCATTTGACAAGGCATTTTTGCGAAGCACCACTGTTTTCGACACTTTTAAAAGGTCACCTAAGAACTTAATGATATATCACCCTTCCCCTCTGATTTATATTCTACCTCACAAATTTAATTTAAAAATGCCTCTGTGATACACTCTAGATAAACAGTCCATACCTCACCAATGCAAGACAGTACAATGGTGCATCACAGTGCATCATATGTGCACAGAGACAAAGCAGTACCTGATATTCACCATGAGGGAAGGAAACTGGAAAACAACATAAGACCTACTGCCTACAATCACACTGACAAAACACTCATTACAGAGGGGGGTCACAGAAAAATGTGAGACATCCCACAGATAGAAACGGGTGACAGCAGGGGGGGAGTTAATTGATAATTAGAATAGTTATAAGTATAAGTATAATAATAATATACCTAGAGCCGGAGGATCTGTCCTAGGTTTCTGCCTTTTAACAGGCAGTTTTTCCTTGCCCTTGTCCCCAAGTGCTTGCTCATGGTGGTACTGTTGGGTCTCTGTAATTAATGTTAAAGAGTTCGGTCTAGACCTGCTCTATTTGAAAAGTGTCCTGAGATAACTTCTGTTATGAATTGGCGCTATACAAATAAAATTGAATTGAATTGAATTGAATTATAAGTACAGTTAAACTGTGGAAAATATTGTTCTTGCAACTGCATTGTTGGACACAAATATAGCTTAATAATTTCATGTGATATGCTTCTTCAGTTCACTTTAAAAACATTTATTACTGGGACCACTAAAGAAGGTTGTAGATTCACATTATAGGCACTACTGCCACTGACCATACTTGATCCAGCCATATACTTGGTTTCTACTTCCTCCTGTTGACAGACAGCTGCAGTCATTGGGTCCAATGAAATGCTTTTGTAGATAATAATTAATATGGTGTAAGTAAATGTGTCTTGTTTAGTGTCTGTCACCCAACTTCATTTCACTGTTAGAACATTTAGCTTTATGTCGACTCTGGGAGCACAGCAGGATGAAATTTGACAGCATACTTTCAGAAATTGATGGATTTGGAAAATTCCAAATCAAGCTAGTCTTGATTCAGATGCTTTCTCGCATTACTCTACCATGTCACTTCCTGCTGAATAACTTCATGGCAGCTGTTCCCTCTCACCACTGTAACATCACTGCTCTCGATGATGGAGGCATCTTTGGGAATTTAACTCAGGAACAGAAACTGGTTGTAGGTATTCCAGCAGAGCGGGATGGCGCTCCGAGCTCTTGTCAGATGTTTTCGAACCCCCAGTATCAACATCTGTCAGGCTCCAACAGTAGTGAGGATACATTTACTGTTCAGTGTCAGAACGGATGGGTGTATGACAACAGCACATTTAAATCTACTTTGGCAACAGAGGTAAGTGTCGTCAGTTAATATTACAATATTATTTCAGAGATATAACAATAAGTCATAGACACATTTATTGTAATCAAATGTTTGTTAACCTCCTTTGTGGTTCAAATTTTCAAATGAAATGGGAAACTAAGAAAGGTTACTTCCATACTTCAACTTCTAAGAGGTCAACTTCTATGAAGACGCAAAATTATGTCATGGTTTCTTTGCAGTGGGATCTTGTGTGCAGCAGAAAAGGGATGAACAAGGCAACAGCCACCATTTTCTTCCTTGGGGTTATGGTGGGTGCCCCTTTATTTGGGTTTCTCAGTGACAGGTAAGATTGTCAATTAAAAAACACAGTATGTCTTCCATATGTCTAAAATGTCACTCACTCTCTAACAAATGTCAGAAAAGATTTAAGTAAAAACTAAAACATAAGCAGAGTATAAAAGACAACAATATAATACTACTAATAAGACTATAACAGGGATTGTTATGAAATATACATAAAAGAGATCCATAATGAAATAACTAATCATAAATAAGTAAATTAATGCCATTTAAGACAAATTTTTAAGAATATGTGTTTGCCAAATATGTTCTTACTGTATGTATCTTCTGAATAATTTATATACATTATGTGCAAGACTTCTGTCAATAGTTTACTTATTGTCTTTAACCTTTCCTTCTCATGACCAGGTTTGGCCGACGGAAACTGCTCTTGGTGTCTTATTTGTCATCCATGATGTTTGCCGTCCTAAGTGCGTTCTCCCCATCGTACATAATGTTTGTCATCATGAGATTTTTCACGGGGATGTCACTTGCAGGAATAAGTATAATCTCTATTGTGCTAAGTAAGTATGCTAATGCTAAAATAACTCTAACCTTTGAGAAGAGAAAAATAAAAAAAATAGATGTGTGTTTAGTCTTCCTTCACAGTTGTGGGTTTATAATATTGTGCTGACGTTGCTCCAGATGTTGAATGGTTCGGCATTGAACACAGGACCTTTTCTGGTGTGATTATAAGCTTGGATTGGACACTTGGAAACTGGTTTCTGGTTGGAATTGCATATTGTATTAATGAGTTTCGGATGCTCATCCTAGCAGCGACCTCACCACTGATACTGGCCGTCATGGCTTGGAGGTATAAAAGTTTCACATTTTAAACTTTGCAGCATAAAAAGCTGAATTCTATTGGAAGTCAATGAGACACTGAACTCACCTTTGCTTCAGGTATCTTCCAGAGTCTGCGAGGTGGCTCTTGGCAAACGGGAAAGCAGATGCTGCACATCATTACATAATGAAATGTGCCGAGATGAACAACAGGACCAAGTGTATGGATGCGATCACACCAATGGTACACTTCAGCATCGTTTATCTGACAATATCACTGTGATATGAAAAGAAAACTACTGTCAGTGCAGAAGTGTTGTGGATGAACTGTTTAGTTGTCTTTTGTCCTACTTTTTTACAGGTATTACTGGAATCTGTACAGGATGAAACTACAGATAAGAAGTACACTATTGTAGATCTTTTCAAGACCCCAAATATTAGGAAACTTTCTATATGCTCAGGGATAGTATGGTGAGTGTCAAAAATATGCTTATTCGCGTTCTCTAAGAGTTATATGAGAATTTCTATTTCAAATGCTTGTCTGCATTAAGTACGTAGTCATGAGACTGGAATAGCGTGGAATAAAGGCTGGAAAAAGTTTATACATTTATTATGGGATTACACAAGCCAGATACAACATGTTAATTAGTGAGCTTTTGATGTGCTTGAAGGTGGATTTTGAACTTGAGGCAGAGCCAGGCTAGGTGTTTCCCCTTGTTTCCAGTGTTTATGCTAAGCTAAGCCAGTAATCCCCTAGCTCTTGTTTGAGTCTTCTCATGTAACTCCTAGAAAGAAAGCAAAGAAGCAAATTTACCAAGATATTGAACTATTTGTTTAACATAGTGTAAGTTACGTTAATCAAATGCTAGTAAGTGTAAGCTTGTGAGATATATTTCTATTATACAGTAATATCAAGTAGGCCTACATATTAATGTGATATATTATGCAATATGGTATATAACTGAAGGATGGTTAATGATAACAAAACAAACTTCAATAACATTCCACTATGCTGCCATAATGGCTTATATCAGAACAGCCATTTTTACCTAAAATAGTCGGGTAAACGCAGGAGTTACCAATTATACCAATTAAGGTTCTGTTCCATTTTGTGTAGCAGAGCCTTTCCAGTGAGCCAATAGCAGCCCCCTGACTCTGTCTGACCTGAATAGAACCTTAATTAGCATCACTGGTAACACCTGTTTACCTTACTACTTCATGTCAGAATGGCTGCTGTGAAAAAAGTCATTTGCGAGACTCGTTTCACTGCTTTGTTCTATTTTGTAGGTATGGAGTTGCATTTACATATTATGGGATAAGTCTGAATATCACTGGGTTTGGACTAAACCCGTACCTCACACAATTCATCTTTGCATCCATCGAAATGCCAATGAAGATTGGTGTGTATGTCTTCCTGGAAAAAGTTGGCAGAAAGCCTGGTGAGATGGGAGCCCTGTTGTTGACTGGTCTCTGTCTCTTCATCAACATATTTGTTGGAAAAGGTACATTTTTTTATAGAATCTAATCATTTAATTTGATTGCATTTGTCAGTTTTTTGTCAACATATTTGAGAATTCTTGTGATTAAATATCTAAACACCTTTTCTCAGATAGGTGGATTATTCGTACTGTTGTGGCAGTCCTTGGAAAAGCCCTGTCAGAAGCCTCATTTACAATCATGTTCCTTTTCACGACTGAATTCTTTCCTACAGTCGTACGGTTAGTCAACAACAAACTTATGTGGCAAGTTTGACCACAGACAATGATCTTCTGTTCTGTTGTTCAGTACCACAGGTACTGTACAGGTTTACATTAACCTAAGTGCTTGGATTTTTCAGACAGAACGGTTTAGGCTACACCTCGTTTCTGGCACGGCTGGGCGTGTCCATATCTCCACTCATCATGTTATTGGAGGATGTGTGGCATCTCCTCCCTGCAGTCACTTACTGCACAGTGGCAATTGGCTCTGGTTTAGTGACTTCCCTTCTGCCTGAAACATTAAATACCAGACTGCCAGAGTTAATCGAGGATATTGAGAAACCGAGGTAAGAGGAAAACGTGTTAAAGGAAAGCTTAAGCTACAGTAAACGATAAGCCACCTCAGTGAACCTCAATGCTAAAGAATAATCCAGTCAACCCTGCAAGGGCAAGTGGGTTATGAGAAACAATAATTTCAGTAAATTATAAAATTTTCTGAGCTAATTTACATGTTTTAATCATTTGCATGTGTCAAAAATAATTCCTGAACTCAGTAAGCCATGCATGGTAAAATGACTAACTCAAGTTTTGTCTTTGTTGTAGGGTACAGTCAACAAGGAGGAAGGACATTCAATAAAAATCACACTTATTGATAATGAGAACTTGCCCTCTATATATTTGTTATGAAATTCTTGTTAAATTTTAATAAATGGAGATGATTTGATTTTAACAATAAATAAAAAATCCCAATAAATAATGAAACCAACAGCTAGAAGGTATTTAACAAATCCAAAGGTGTATTGTCTAAATAATTTAGTCTGGCAACAGCAGAACAACAGTGGAAGAAACCCAAGAGCAGACAATTTACTTGTAGCTGGAAATAAAGTTTTAGTAAAAGAGAAAACGTCTATTGGTTTTATTGAAATTATACATTTTATGGTGACATACTGGTTTAAGTCTTATTATGTCCTGCTGTCGTGGCTCAGGGTATATGGGACAGCCCAGTAATATACTGGTGATCTGCAAAGGATAAGCACTTATAAATGATGGATGGATGAAGGAGTTGGTTTCATTTGCTTGCCAAAGTATTGGACAAAATCAAAACTTTAAGGTATATTGTTGTGTTTAAGTACACTTTCATATTTATAGTACTGTGTGTATATTCATTAGTATGCTGTGATGTAATGTGAACGTTGTCTGTCCTGCACCATGAACAAGTTCTGTTGTTTATTATAATGGTAATAAAACTCAGTGATTAAATGGCAATCCATCTGATAGGTATGGAGACATTTCACAAAAAAACACAAGATGTCAGCTTCATGATGGGATCATCACATTCTTTAAGGATTCTGTCTTCTGAATGTCTGTACAAAAATTCATGGCAATCAATGGTAATAAATCAAATCGAATAGTTCTGACAAATATTTAAGTCTGGACCAAAGTGGTAGAAGAAGAGCATGACCTTTATACAATAATCCCTCCCTCTGTATCAAAGGACCAGTGTGTAAGATTTAGTGGCATCTAGCTGTGAGGTTGAAGTTTGCAACATACTGATAACCCCTCCACTCCCCTCTCCCTTGCCAAGTTTGTGCTACGAAAAGTCTTAAATGCTACCCTATCTAGAGCCAGTATTTGGTTTGTCCATTCTAGGCTACTGTAGAAACATGGCAGTCTCTGTGGAAGGTCATTCTAAGGTAACAAAAACACAATGATACTCATTTTAAGGTGATTATACACTAATGAAAACATACCTATGAATATTCAATTCCTATTGCCAATAGATCCTTCTAAATCTTACACACTCGACCTTTAAGTAGATCTTAAATTGACGTCTGTGTCGTTTTTTTGTACTTTGGTATTTTGGACTCAATAGCAAATGATTTATTTTTTTAAATAAGCAACTTGTCAGACGGCTTTTATATGGCTGAGTGAGCACAGACTCTTTTCCATTGCTTTACTACACATGCACAGACTCTCTTGGCTGACAACTGACCAACAGCATTTAACAGTGTGTAAAAGTGACTTCTTTTCAAACTAACATCCTGTGTGCTTTTGATATTTTCAATTATTCTCTGAGCTACACTCCAGATTGGAAGTGTTGTATAATTTATTTTCAAGATGAAGTTTGAGAACATACTGGCAGAGGTGAATGGCTTTGGGAAATTCCAGTTAAGGACGATGCTCTTGATGGTAATTGCTCGTGTGACTTTGCCATTTCACTTTCTGCTGAATAATTTCATAGCGGTTATTCCCTCTCACCACTGTGACGTCAGCTCTCTGGATGATGGGGTTGTTTTTAGGAATTTATCCCTGGCAGAGAGGCTTCTTGTTAGTATTCCAAGCCAGGAGGATGGGACTCCAAACTCCTGTCAGATGTTTGCAGAGCCTCAGTATCATCTGCTGGTCAACTCTTCCAACATTACTGACCTACTCACAGTGCCGTGTCAGAATGGATGGGTGTACGATAACACCGACTTCAAGTCTACTGTGGTAACAGAGGTCAGTTTTATCTTTTTCTACCCAATGATAACCAAAAGTATTAAACTGATATCAATCCCAAATTAGCCACATTATGCTTTACTTTTCTGTGTCTCCCTCATAGTGGAATCTGGTTTGTGATAAGAGAAGAGTGAACAGAGCCACAGCAACTATATTCTTCATTGGAGTCATGGTTGGAGCAGCAGTATTTGGTTATCTTAGTGACAGGTGTTCATGCCTTTAACTGTCAGACTCTCAAATCAGATTCATTTTGACCTCTGGGTGGTTAAATGACACAACTTTATTAAGAGGAAGAGGAAACTTGTATATTGAGAGTATTTTTGCTACAGTATATAAACCACAAAAAGAACCAAATCAATCACTTCTTATTTGGAAAGTCCAAAGTTAATACTCAGCTGTCAACGGAAAGAAATGAGTTGATGTACGACAAAGTGTCACTGAGTGCGTCTCCACAGACTAAATAAAACTCATGATGTAACCTGACACTATTTCTAATCTTTACCCCAACCATAAAATTAACCCTAACCCATACATATGTATATGAATGTCTACAGTGTTGACTACTTTTCAATTTACAGAAGGAATATATCATTCTACATAATAATATTATCTATAATAATAAAGTGTCGTCACACCTGAAAAAAACACTATCCTGGGTATTGTATAAGTGTTTTTACACAACCTATTCCATAGATTTATTTAGAATTATTTTGTCTCACAGGTTTGGCAGAAAAAGAACGCTTCTGGCTTCCTACATGATAACCACCTTCTTTGGATTTGCAAGTGCTTTCTCATATAATTTCGCCATGTTTGCTGTCATGAGGTTCTTTACTGGATTTGGAATTTCTGGAATAAGTATAATCACCGTAGTCCTCTGTGAGTTTCATGCCATAGTATGTGTCTTTTAAAACAAAGAAGAAAAGAGAGAACTTATAGAAAAAAAAGTAACATATAAACCAATAAATACTCTGATTATATTAAATCCACAGGTTCAATTAGCTGTTGGAGGTTTTTGTAATGTTAAAGCTTGTTGTGAAATTCCTTTTTATCCAACCTGTTTATCCATTTGTGTTTAAACTTCAACAAATATTTATAATAAATATATAAAACTTGAGCTGAAAAAGTGTTTACAAATCTACCATAATCATAGTCTGTTTTAGTAGATTTGAGTTGTTATCATTGCTCTTTATAGGTATTGAATGGGTGGACATTAAGCATCGCACTGCAGTGGGTATTTTAATGAGTTTGGACTGGAGTATTTCTACTGCTGTACTACCTGTTGTAGCCTATTTTGTGAATGATTGGAGGTACCTGACCGCCACGGCAACCAGCCCACTGTTTCTGGCTATGACCTGTTGGTGGTAAGGAAAAAATAATTATTGACCTATTTTGCTATTTTATATATATATACATTTATACTAATGAGGATATTCAAAATAATTTTACAGTGTTTAAAGATCCTTGTTCTCATTAACAGTGTGAGGCCAGAGATGTGACTCATGAATTCATATTAAAAATTACAGGTGGCTCCCCGAGTCTGCCAGATGGCTGATAAGCAATGGAGAGTTAAAGAGTGCTCATTTTTACTTGAACAAATGTGCAGAATTAAACGGCAGAAAGCAGTTCATGGCTGACCTAAAGCCTGAGGTACAAAATCTTACATAATATGATTATTTCAAAAATTGATACCCACTTCCACTCTGACCAAAATTTCATTTTTACTCTTCAGAGTCTGTCCACAGTGATACTTGTAGACAATGAAAAAAGAAAATATTCCTATTTGGACCTTGTGAAGACCCCCAGAATGAGGAAACTGGCTCTGCTTACTGGCATTGTGTGGTATATACATTTATTTGTTTTTGCCTTTAAACCACTGAGATTTTCACCTTTTAAACATGGGAAAAACGAATAATCACTACAATCCACTGTCCATATATCACTTACTCAGCTTGAGAACAACAAACTTTAAAAATCTGTTTGAACACAGCTCCTCTGTGTGTCAGTGGTAAGTTGCCATGGACTCAGTGTGATAACACTCTTCAAGGTGTCTTGAAATAGAATAAAACTTTTTTAATCATCATAAGTCTGAGTTTTGGGGGGCGAAGGTGCACAATTACCAATTTTGTGGGGACTAGCAGAAAAGTAATAAAATTAGTAGTTTAACTAATTGCTGTTAACAGGGAGTAAAAAGTGAAGTAATAATACTGAAAAGAGTAATGAGTAACCAGCCCAACATTGATCCTGTTACAGATGCCTGCCAATCAGCCAATCAGAAATTAATATTTTCGGGGTTAAATGTGTACCTTGAACAAAACCTCTCTCTTTCTGTTCATAGGTTTGTAGTGGCCTGTACATATTACGGAATCAGCCTGAACGTCACTGGCTTTGGTGTGAACATTTATCTCACACAGTTCATCTACGGCGTAATAGAAATTCCTGCAAAAGCCTTCATCTATTTCAGCCTGGACAAAATAGGCAGACGCTTGAATCAGACTGGAACACTCATTCTGACTGGTCTGTGTATATTCTGCAACATGTTTATCCCTCAAGGTAAATGATCAAATCAGGTTTGTGTCTCTTTGAAACAGTAAACTTATAGTGAGATGGCAATATTAGATAACAAAAACAACATAAAAAGTGAAAGTTTGAATAGAAATCGTATACAGTTGCATTTTTTATTTAATAAAGAGTGTCAGAGTTGCGAATAGTCAATTTTCTACACATAGTGGCATAGTGACTATAATACAAGTTGGGTGAGTTGGGAGTTAAAATGTCCTCTTTTCAGATAAGGGGCCATTTCGGACAGCTGTTGGAGCTTTGGGTAAAATGTTCGCTGAGGCAGCTTTCACAACTGTATTTCTGTACACAACAGAGCTTTACCCCACTGTAATGAGGTCAGTAAACTATCTAACATTGTGCACATTTACAAACAGTATCTACATCCAGAGGCTTTTCCCAAGAAGCAATTTACTGAGACATACATTTGTTGTATTCCTGGTTACACAGGCAAAATGGATTGGGTTACAGCTCCTTCATGGCCCGTGTAGGTGTGTCTGTATCTCCCCTGATCATTCTTCTTGAAGACGTGTGGGGCCATTTACCGAGTGCTATTTTCTCCCTGGTGGCTTTGGCTGGAGGTCTGGCTGCTTCTTTTCTTCCTGAGACAAACAACGTCCGTCTACCAGAGACTATTGAGGACATTGAACAGACAAGGTATTGGGCTTTAACTTGGATTGCATCCAAACATTCAAATGAGAATTATGTTATTAAATGACAATGTGTCGTGTGTTTCAGAAGAAGATCAATCTCCACATCTGAGGAGAAATCTCCACCCTAAATGCTATCTTCATTGCACTTAAAGGCTCATAAATTGAGTAACAGGGAATATCAGTGGTGGTAATATGTTTCAACAATAAAACAATAAAGGAGCAAGTGTTTTTTACATATGCACAACCTGCGTGACTTTTTTCAATAAATGTGATCAAATATTTCACCATGATTCATGTATGCTTTTTGTGTTGCACTATTGTAAAGAGAGGATATTCCTTAAATGAAAGAAGAACCTGAGGGGTAGAGGGTTATGGTATAACCAGGGAGACATTCTGAGATGTAATATGTTATATGATGAGGAGGCAGTGGAGGAAAGGGAAAAGAGATGAATGAAAGGAGATAATATGAAAGGGGGAAATCTGGGGTCGCAGAATGTGCTATTGAGCCCTCTGGAGATGTAGTGGGATCATCAATGAAATACTGAAGAAGGATGCACTTGGCAGGTGACAGAAATTGTAATTTGGATAACAATTCCTCTTTCTTGTTCAAGAACTGGGACTTGTTGTGTGATAAGTAGAAGGACAAAGTGTAGTGGCTTGGTACAGAGGAAATGTTAAAGGATGATTCAGTGTTCGAAAATAAAGCAACGGTAAACTATTCTCCATCATCTGGATGTCAGAGAAATGCAGCCTAAACACAAAGGTCCATCGTCTTGTATGAATCTAAACAGTGTATTCCACTACAAATTACTGAATACATGCCCTGAATTTAATATGTAACAGTAGATTACTCCAGTTAAGTAATGGAATATTTCAGGATCAATCGGAATGACCTCATTACTGTCTTAAGAGAAAAAGTTATGCAAGTACACAAAACACAAATGTGGAATCTTTTGTCCCGCAACGACTAGCTTACTGCTAATAACTGACCTCAAGGTGTTTCTTCAAATTAGACGTCTTTTGACGCAGAAAACAGTTTGGTTGATTGCAAGCAGAGCTGGCAATGCAGTGTAATGTGTAATGCTGCAGTGTAATGCTGTGACATTCTTGACCTTGCATCTAGGTAAAATGTTCTTTAATTTTCCACACAAAAAGCTCATTGTGTTAATCTGTAATCTGACTCATTTCACATACTGAGTATCCTGTGTTATTTTTCACAACAAATTCATGCTGCATCACAGTCACATAGACGTTATTTTAGTAGTTAAGTGAGGTAAAATATTCACCAATTTCAACTGTAGTCCAGCAGCCCCTGAAATGCCAAAGGTTGCCTTGACTTGGTCTCAGAGTCAAGTTCATACATGGGCAAATGAGGAGAGTGGATTCTTTTTCAGTTCCAAAGGAAGACATTTTACATACAGCGGGAGGCCACGATGAGGTTCGAGAACGTTCTAGCCGATATTAATGGATTTGGAAGATTTCAGATAATGATAATTGTAATCAGCTTCATTGGCCGCTTCACAATGCCCTGCCACTTCATGCTAAACAACTTCATAGCAGCTGTTCCCTCTCACCACTGCGACATCAGCTCTCTGGATGATGGAGGTGTTTTTAGGAATTTATCCCTGACAGAGAGACTTACTGTCAGTATTCCAGTCCAGGAGGATGGGACTCCAAACTCCTGTGAAATGTTTGCTGAGCCTCAGTATCATCTGCTGCTCAACTCTTCCAACACTGCTGAAATACCGACAGTGCCGTGCCGGACTGGATGGGTGTACGACAACACCACCTTCAAGTCTACTCTGACCTCGCAGGTGACCTACATTTGTTTTCATTTGTGAAACATAAATCAAACTTAAGTGTACTTGTTCACTATCATGAACACACTCATGTTCTCAAAGAACAGAGTCATTCTCTTTCTTTATTTGTTAATCCAAGTGGGACCTGGTGTGTGACAAAAGAGGGAAAAACAAAGCAACCGCTACCATCTTCTTTGTTGGAGTTATGTTTGGGGCCATGACCTTCGGAAGTCTGAGTGATAGGTATCACAGCTTGATTACTTAATATTCTGCTTATAACTTTGATTACCCAGTGTAACAAACAATCAGTAAAATCTGAATTTTCCATAGGTTTGGCCGAAGGATCATGCTGCTGGTGTCGTATGTGTCTGGAATGCTTTTTGCTGTCGCAAGTGCTTTTTCTACATCTTACTTAATGTTTGTAGTGCTGAGGTTCTTCACTGGGTTTTTCATCACTGGCATCGTCATTGTCTCAACAGTCCTCAGTAATTATATATTTTTAATGTCTAACCTTTGTAAACTGTTAATCATGTTGTACTAAAGGTTTAATCTGAATTTAAATACTTGGAAAATGATGAAATGTTTGATCTTTGCAGGTGTGGAGTGGGTGGACATTGAGCACAGGAAACTGGTGGGAGTGATCGACAGCTTATCCTGGACGTTTGGGAACACAGGATTTGCAGCTATTGCTTACTTTGTGACTGACTGGCGGTGGCTTATTGTTAGCGTCACCTCACCTCTAATCTTGGCCATCATCACGTGGAGGTAGGACTCAGATCATGTAGTCCAACTGAGGCACCCAACATTAAGCCCTTATCTGGAGGCGTCATGTTTTAAGTGATTCCTTAACATTTGAGTGCAAGTGACCCATATATGGACTTTTGAAGATAAACGTTGGAAATATATATATGCATATTAATATTGCAAACTTAATTTAATTAGACAACATTTCAACTATCAAGGGTTCATCCACCAAAGTGTAACAGCGCAAAAGCAAAATTAAGAGCAGCAAAGCAGCTATCTAGGATGCTACAGACTAGGAATGTTAGTAATCACAATATGAACATCCTCTTTGATATTTTCTCCCATGCTCAAGATTTTTTATTCAAGTATCTATAAAATCAGATAACGGGGGAATTCAGAGATGCTACTTGTATGCTACATCTATGCAGCACCTGTACCCAACAAATTAAAGAAAAAAATAACATAAATTGTCTTAGTAAGGTGTTGGGCCAACCAAACAAGAACATGGTACTAGAGGACGTAAACAGAACACAGACCAAGACAGCCAGGTCTTAATCTAGTGGTGTAATTGCAGATTGCGACTCCCTCATTTCACAGCTTTTCGAAAAAAATTGCAAGAGAAAGTTAAATTGCAAAAATAGATGTGATTTTGTTTTGTATAATCCCTTAAAAAAGTCAAAGGCAACTTGTTCCACTGAGATGAGATGTATGGGTTAGCGTTTTGCGCAGGAGGCTGCAGTGACTGAATTCACAAAACTACAATGATTGGTCGAGATTGGCAGATAATTCACTGGGGCTGAATTTGTGCTAATTGTTACGATTGCAACATTGCAACTTCCTGGAGGGACTGAGCAGGATGGTCGACACAAATGTAATACATCAGGATTAAAAAACGTCTTTGCCCTCAACATTAGGTGGATGCCCGAATCGGCAAGGTGGCTCATTGCCAACGGAAGGCTGGAGCAAGCTCAGATGTATTTGAAGAAATGTGCCAAGATGAACCAAACAGAAGAGCTAATTGACACACTTAAAACAGAGGTCAGGAGAAGCAACAAAAATCATAAACATAGTCTTTGGCCTGTAATCTTCCAGATTATTATTAGTTTGTGTTGTCTCTATAAACTGTCATAGTTAATTATCAATCCTTTCATTTTCTATCACATGGTGTAAAGAATAATGGTGCTTTGCATTCTTTCAGACACTATCTACTATTGTTGTGACTGAGAAAAAAGATCGGGTCTATTCCTACCTCGACCTGATACGAACACCCAAAATGAGGAAACTGGCACTACGTACTGGTATAGTGTGGTCAGTTTCCTAGTGCCTTTGTGCTCAGTGATATATCTTATGTTCTGGTCAATGAGTCAGTTTCACATTATATCCAGAAATGATTGTATCGAAACATACTATAAACTTAATTTAATGACTTTCCATTTTCTCTTGCCCCAGGTTTTGTGTGGCAACTACGTTTTACGGCATCAGCTTCAACATCACAGGCTTTGGGCTCAATATCTATCTCACTCAGTTTACCTATGCTCTGATTGAGCTCCCAGCCAAAGTAGCAGTTTACTACTTACTGGATAAGATAGGCAGGCGATCCACTGAGGTGGGATCTCTGCTGTTGGCTGCCGTCTGTCTTGGGATCAACATTGTAGTACCTAAAGGTAATCACTCATTCATGTCCACTAACATATAAGCTTTAGGTTTTTTTATTATTATTACAGTCATTTAATCATTTAATGTTTTCAGATATGTCCGTTGTCAGAACAGTGGTAGCGGTCATTGGAAAAGGGTTTTCTTCAGCGTCCTTTGCAACCGTTGTGCTCTACAGTTCTGAGCTATATCCCACTGTAGTAAGGTAACTACGCATGTCTTCTTTTTCGTCTTATCAATCTGAACATCACACTTTTTGATTTGTAACATTCAGCACATACTTGGAGCTTTATTGCAGAATCATCCTTGGTTTAGTTAATGTCCTCTGTGATTAAGATAATAGTCTATGTTTTATTCAGGCAGAATGGTATGGGCTACAACTCCTTCATGGCTCGACTTGGCGTAGCCGTGGCTCCTTTGATCCTCCTACTGGACGAGGTGTGGAAGGATCTGCCTCAGGTCGTCCTGTGCTCTGCGGCTGTACTGGGGGGAATAGCGGCAAGAATGCTGTCAGAGACACGCAACAGGTGTCTGCCAGAGACCATAGAGGACATTGAAAAGGATTGGTGAACACTGCACTGCCATCAGTGCAGGTCCAGTTATGATGTCTTTTTAGTAGTTTGATTTTTATATTCTTATTTGTAGAATTACCTTCAGGTTTTATCTAAATATTGGTTTGTTGGAAGGATATTTAGGGAGGTGTGAGGAAAACTTCGTCTGGAGATTGAACATTGTGCTCTTTAAGTAACATTAGTAACACAAGTTGATACTATTGACAGTAAATAATGACTTAAGGTGGTATAGGGCAGTGGTTCCCAACCTTTTTTGGCTCATGACCCTCTTATAACTATGTTATGCCAACTGTGAGTTGTTTGTCCAAAAAGTGATGTTCCTTTCTTTTCCTTTCAAGTTTTTCCCCCCAGAAAGTGTACAATATTTGAGAAAAGCAAGAAAAGGTTAACACACTTTTGTCTGGCAGTAATCCTTCTTCATTCCTGTTGTTCTTCATCACTTAACCCCAAAGTTTTTATCTTGTGACCCCTCGGGGCAGTAATTAAGAATACAGAAAAAGTATCATGCACTTGTAACTCTGAGGTAGTATTCCCTTGTGTCATCATAAAGCAGCTTCTTTCCAAGATTTATTTAGATATTTCATAAAGCAGATTTGTAAATTTTGCCAAATTTTAAACTAGCAAATCTCAGCACAAGAAAAAAAAAAAACTCCACTAGGGACCACACTACTTTTGCAATAACCGGCTTTACTAATTAATATATATATATATATATATACACATACACACACAGAGAAATTAAGTCAAAGCTCCTTTATTAAAGAAACAAAGCAAGCACAAATCTTTTTTATGACTCAGCAATCCCCTAAAGGAAAGTCAACCACATCTAAATGACATGTTTCTGATATTCCTTTTAAAAATCTTTATAGCCAGGTCTAATATTTACTGATGATATTTCATCTGACATAACACTTAGTTACAGAATAAACATTGATGGGAAAAAGAAAACAAACAAACAAACAAACAAAAAGCAAACAAAATATAAAAATCAAAATGCCAAATTTGAAACATTAAGATACAATGATACGGAAAGATCTAAAACTATAGTATGCAGTTGTTTTCCAGGACACTTCTTGGCTATTGTTCAGTACTGGGAATACTCCTTGCTCTCTAGTTTGGCAATGATTCGCTCCAGCTGTCTTTTAGCTTCACATTGTGGGAAGTTACTCATTTCATAGTACTGGGGTGCAATCTTCACCAGCCTGTAACAGAAGAAGAAAGAGGATTATGAATAAGTCCGCCAGGAGATCAAGTACAGTCAATTAAATTCATTGAGCTTTATAAATCTATACTAGTAAAACTTTTCATCTGTGCACACATACCACTCTGGTTTGATGTCTGTGCAAGTGCGGATGTAGTTTTTGGTGGTAAGGACAAATTCATTGTAGAGCACCCACTCAGGCTTGTGGTCCAGGACTGTAGATGGGTGCAGTTGGACCACTTGGTTGTCTTTGACTGTGAGGTAATGACCTGTGCGCTCCAAGTGAGCGACCTGGAGGATAACATTTTTTTTTTTTTTTTAAATGGTTAAATACAAGCCATAGAGGACTCATATCCTGTTAAAAAAATAAAAAATAAAAAAGAACACATCATGAAAGATGTACACATTTACTGATGTGTGCTCACCTGCATGAAGAAGCCGGTGCAGAGCGCTCGGCGGATGTTGATGTAATAATCCCTGCTGGTGAACTCTGTGCTCCGGCGAGGCAGGTTGAAGCGGTCCATAATCCTGGACAGCTGCTGCCGCACATTGTCAGCAGACATCAGTGAACGGTAGTTGACAAAGTTGTCATAGCACCACTGGTTAGACTCGTGGTCTGGAAAAAGGTATAACAAGGAATCAGTTTCATTTGGGTCTTTATACTTCCAATACAGGTACAAGAGGCCTTTAATGTTATTTTCATAACAAATTTAAGGCTACACTAATCAATATTTTAACAATGGACTGTGTGTAATGTAAAAGGTTTGGGTTTGTTAAACTTTTTAAATGCTAAATACCTCATAATCGTCAAGAGCAGATGTAATTTTAAGAAGAAAAGTAGCAATAATTCAACTTTTTTTGTGGGAAGACATGTTATTATTAGTATATTTATGTCTTAAAACGTGTTTCAAGGGGGATCTTTAAGGCCGCTGCTCACTTTGTTTGAAGGCGTGGTAGACGTTAAGCAGCGTCAAGTGGTCTCCGTCGATGTGAGCAAACCTCATCTTGGACTCGTCTGCTGCCTTCTTTGCCTCCGTGGGGCGGACAAAACACTGTGGGACTAAACAAGGTTGGTATGGGCCCCAACAAAGCCGCCCATAGGGATGAGTCAAACATTCACAGAAAAATGGAGCAAAGCCTATGATGCTAGGGCACTCGACACTGCGTTGGGACAGGGCAGGACCACAAGCTCTATCAAAGGGGGGCTGCAGTCTTTTCTCATGGTCTTTCCCAACTGTTATGGCTATTAGCTCGTAGAGAGGGGGGTCATTTAACCACATCTGTAAAACAAGAGTTTTCACACAACTACAAAGTGTTAGGGACACCAGAAATGTTTTAACTTTTCAAGATTCAGAGATGTAACTTTGTTTTGGTATCGAGAAACAATGGTTAGGCCATTAAGAGAGCAGATAATTCAAATACTTCCAGGCTACACATGATAACTTTACATATCGATAATAGGTAAAGTTCACAATGCATTAATTCAATAAAAAGAAAATTCAGATAAATGCGATGAATATGAAGAAATATAAGTGGTGCCTGCCCTATCCACTTGCTTTAGTGATGAAACACTTGTGCAAAGGCTCACTTACTATTCACTAAATATTGTAATATAATAATACTGTATTATGGCCTTAAATTAAAACCTCAAATTAGAAAGCTTTAACATTTACGTAAAGCTCTCCAGAGTGAACGCATTCCAACAAAAGTGAATTTGTGGAGTAAAAAACACTGCATGGCAATGAAAAGATGGCATACGGATTATGTCATTCACTATTACGATAAAATAATAATGATTATTCTACATATAGTATATTCCATATATACTATATTTCCTGTTTACAATTGGGTCTTACTGTTAAAAAGAAATGTGTTCATCAAAATAAAATGTTGCACAATTCTTCCCCAATAAACTTACTGCAAACTACTGGTTTAAACAAAAATAATAGGATTAAATACAGAAACAGTTTTAGTAAAAAATAAAAATGTAAAAAAAATTAGTAGGGCCAATATTTTTTGTTGCTACAAATTTCCCAGGAATTGAAAATGTATATATATTTTTTTAAATACTTTACTAATATCAAATTAAACACAATTATATATCATTAAAAGTTCTGCCTTTATTCACAAAAATGCAGTGCATAAACTAAATTCAAGGTGGGAAACTTTCTGTCCAATACGACCAGTGAGCGGTTGTGTGTTTAACCCCAAGAGACTTGGCCCACAGAAGGCAAGGAAGATGTCAGCCCAGTCCTGGGCATTACCTGACAACATGGCAGTAATGGAAAGGATCTCGTTAGAGCAGTTAAACTCGCAGCTGGCAATGACCATCTTGGCCAGCTGGGGGTCCAGAGGAAACTCTGCCATCATGGAGCCCAGCTCCGTCAGGTCACCATCATCGTTGAGAGCCGCCAGGTAGTTCAGCAGTTCAAGGGCCCTCATCAGTGTCTCAGGAGCTGCAGAAGAGATAGGGGAGGAGACAGACAGAAAGGTCAGACAGTCAGGTCCAAGCAGAGATTAATAAATGTTTTATCATTCAATCAAACTAATGTAGACCAACTCACCTGGTGGATCCATGAAGTCAAAGTGCACAAGGTCGTCGATACCCAGCTTTTTGAGCTGCAGCACAACAGATCCCAAGTTGGACCGAAGAATCTCAGGGTATGTGTTATCCTGGAGTTGGGATGTTAACAACGTTAGTAAACAACTGTCTGTAATCATTTTAAGAACAGGCTAAACTAACTTACTAACCAGAAGAAGTTTGTATCACTGTTGTCACTTGCCTGCATCTCTGTTTTGTAGGCCTTCTCTGTGTACAGGCGGAAACATTTCCCAGGACGTGTTCTGCCGGCTCGTCCAGCCCTCTGCTGGGCAGAAGCTTTACTGATGGCCGTGACGAGCAAAGACTCAACTCTGATACGGGGATTGTAAACCTGGACACACATTTGAAAGCATGTTTAAGTGAAATAGCAGGACATGGAGACGTAACCCCTAATAAAACAAACTGTATCTGCATTTATACTAATGAGTTTTAATGCAGCACTATATTACACACGGGATATAATGCAATGGAAATCCAGTGAGGTGAGTTAAGCTTTGCTCACCTTTTGCTTGGCAAATCCAGGATCAATGACAAACACCACACCGTCAATTGTCAGAGAGGTCTCAGCAATGTTTGTCGAAACCACAACCTGAGGATGAAGCAACAAGGTGTCAGATATCCATCATCAAAAGTAGGTGCAAATGGACACACAATACACAGCCATCTGCGGAGTAAGACACATCTTTTAATCTAGTTCTGCTAAAATCTATCTGTTGTAATATTTAAAATGTACCTTTCTTCCTATTGCACCATTGGGCTTTCTCGGAGGAGGCGGCTCGAAGATCCTTTGCTGCTGTTGTGGTGGCAATGTAGAATACAGTGGAATGATTTTGATGTCTCCAACTTCAGGTCCCAGGTCATCTACCTCACGCTTGATCCGTTTGCAGGCCTCATCAATTTCCTGAAAGAGAAATTAAGATGTTACTTTGTGTGTTGAGGGAACAGAATAATGCAGCTATAATCCACTGGATCAATAAAGTGAGCACCACAAGTCTTACCTCTTGACCAGTGAGAAACAGAAGGCAGTCACCTTCATCTTCCTCACACATATGAATCTGTATGACAGTGCGGATCGCTGCCTCTAGGTAGTCTCGCTCTGGTTCGGGTGTGTAGAAGATCTCGACAGGGTGCGTACGTCCAGGAATAGTCAGGAGAGGACAGTTGTCGAAGTACACCTGGAACTTCCCGGCGTCTAGCGTGGCACTCATGACAATCACCTAGAAGGAAAGAAAAAATATTCTAAATGTTTTTTGTTTTTTTTTAAATATTCCTGTATCTGTATGTTGAGAATAGTGCCAGCTCTAGAGGTCTTTTACCCAGATGAGTCAATAAAAACAGCCACAGGAGACATTTTAATCCCATTAGCCTGAGTGAGATGACACAATATCTGAACTTATTCTATGATGTTGATCTGACATAGCCAGGCCTACATGCAATTCTGTTTTACTTTGTGTAAACTACCACACTCCTTGTCATCTGTTGAAAATGTTAAAACACTAAATAAGGTGTGAATGGCCAGAATAAATATGACTAGAATCAAAAGGGGCCATCTAAGTCTTCAGCCTGTGTTTTCTATTCTATTCATTATACA